CGCCTGGGCTTCTTGGCCAGGCCCACTCTCTTTCCAGGCCTTGACGCGGGCACGGAGCGCGGCGCGATCGTCCGTATCGGCGATGCAGCATGTCGCCAGCGCGGCGAGAAGGAATACCACGCGCAGCATGCTGCTGGTCGAGGTTTTTTCGAAATGGCCAAGCAGTTGCAGATTCCCACGCTGCACGAGACGAACGAATCATGCGCGATCTTCAACGTGAGTTACGCCGTCGGAAAGCACGTGGCAGCAGCGCCACGCAGCCCATCGAGAGCCATCGAGAGCCACCAAGCCCAAGTCGGCTCGCTCTCGCTGCCACCCTCGTTCGGACACTCGACCGACCACAGGCCACCCATTGGGCTCCGTCGCGAGCGCAACGGACCGACGAAGGCGGAGGCTGCGACATCTCTCTCGACACAGAAGCGCTACTGTACTCCGTCACCACGACATTATTGATCGTCGTACGCTCCAGCGTTGCACGGCGGCTGTACTACCTATGGTATTGCATGACCAGCGCGCGGCAGCGAGAGGCGCTTGAAGTCTCTTGGCTGATCCACGCTGCTACAGTATGGTACCGAAGAGGAGCGCTGTATCAGCAGCAGCACAGGGTATTATCAGTGGGGTATTATCAGTGGGGTATTATACTAGTATAGGTGTGGTATCTGTACCGGTCGGCGGGCGCCAAAGAACTGCGCCGTCGTACGGGCAGCTGGGCGGCAGGCGCCAAATTTTTCCTTCCGTCCGCTCATTGCGTCCTGCGTGGTGCACATCACACGTCTGCACGTCTGCACGAGAGAGCATGAGGCGGAGGAGGTCGAAGCGTGGACGATGGTCTGATGTCACCTGTCGCTACCGATGCACCGCTTCTGTTGTCCAACGCACTGGTAGACTGGCATCGCTGTTGAACAGCGATGCAAGAGAAGCGCAGCACAGTATGCATTGTCTAGAGCCATAAACGAGAGCTGCTATTATGCTCCGAGTCGGGCAAGAGCCGAGGTCGAGTTGCTCACGCACGCCAACGAATAGGGCCATAGGTGGCGTCAGTGCGCTGCCAGTATGTCGCACTGGCGTCCTGGTCATATGAAAAAGATGGTCGTCTTTAGTCCATGATGTAGCCGGCTACACTTCAGACGTGGTCTTCGCGGGGGTTGCTCGCTTGGCTTGACTGCACTGCAGGCGCATGACCACTCCATCAGACTTGACGTTCGAGCCCATTGCACGTCAGCAAGCACACATTTCGTGGGGTACCCTACGGGGTAGTCCCCATTTGACCTTGGTTTTGGTAGGGGTACCTACAGCATTTCTAATCAAGATTGGATTCTGCATCGGGGGCCGAACCTCCGTACGACCTCTCGTCAACGCATGCAAGGGCCTCAGACTCGTCATGCCTTGCGCAGCTTGTGGCCTGCGCGCTGCGGCCGGTGCCAGAGCGTGTGGTACTGCGGGCACGACTGTCAGCGAGGCCATTGAAAGACGCACGAGCCACCGTGCGCGCGTCTAGAACCTGTACGACCTCGCGCTGCCGCGGGCGGGAAACGACGAGGACCTCGAGCGCATGAAGCAAGAACACGACATGCTCTCAACTTTCGTAGACTCGCGGTGGACGGCGCAGCTTGATCCGTGGATGCGTTTGGCGCTGAGCCACGTTCACGCGATCCCGCCGCTGCCGGACGAGTTCCGCCGCGCGTCCCGAGTTTCCCGGCCTTGTCGGTGGCACCATACAGCCAAGGACGGCGACACGCGTGCCCGCGACGACTGCGTCTACGACCCGCGCATCCGCCACACGTTCACCAACACGTTTGTGAACGACGACATCCGCCACGCACATTGCAGTCGGCTTTGTCGATCTCTCGTGCCTCGCCTCGGTCGCGCCGACGTCGCCAACTCCGAGATATCCCGCGCACTGGGTCGGGATCGAAGCGTCGGTGTTTTGCGGGCTCCTCGCGAAGGCCCGTGGGTGCGATTCTGCAAGTGTGGTACTCATCGTGTTGGATGCAGTGCGAGTGCGCTTGAATATGCGCTGACGGGCCAGCTCCTCGGCGCCGACGCGTCCATCGTCACGCGCGTGCATGGAGTCGGTCTTCGACGCGGTCGATGGTGACGCGTTCTTGAGTCTCCACGTCTCGTCGCGTGCACCATGCCGAACGCTCATGGACGCGTGCGCCGACTACCTTTGCGCATTGCGCGGCGCACACCCTCTTGTGAGTGGCCCTGTGGTCGTCGACATTTGGCCGCCGAAGACTTGGCGCCCTCGCGATACCCTCGTGCTACGAACCCTACTCGATTTTGTGGGGCAACATTGGCGACTAAATTTACATGCCGCAGGCGTCGTTCCTATCGATGGCCAAAGCGTGCAGCCTCAGAAAGAGAGCCACGCCACCGACGCTTCACTCGTGTTCCTCTATGAGCAGGCCACGCTTGACCAAAGGTGCCATGCTCCTCGACAACCGCATGGATGATGCGATGCAGCGGCTCCAGCACTGGACGAGATGTTGGCCTTGTACTACCTGTCGCGTCCAGGCGACGCGTGCATCGGGTCGCCACATCAAGACCTCCTGATGACAGTCCTCGTCCACGGCCTCGCGATAAAGTATGCTCACCAGTTTCGCACGTATGGCGCACATGTGCTCAAGCATGGCATGCGCCCGTACAACTGCTTGGCGTCCGCCAACATCAGCCCTCTTCTTTGACTGGCAGTTTGCACTTAGAGCGTCGAGATACTATAGCACGAGGTATTCGAGTCCAATTGCCACTCGAGGGTCGCGTTATAAATGCCATGTCAATGCAAATCGTACAATACCACATGGGTCATTTAAACCCTTTTCATGCGGCCGTCGCCACGGGTTGAAGTTGGTGTGTGCTTTTCGAATGCTGGCTGCAGGACGTGCCACGTCATCGTCGTTGAAACGGCGTTGCAACGGTTCATTCAACATGACGTACAAGAGCACGTCGACGACGGACCCCGAGGACGAAGGGAACGAGCCGTGGCGCGTCACGCTATTGCGCGCGCTCATCCACGGCGACTTGGAGAGTAGAATTCTAATAGTCGTCTTGCACCTAATGGACAATGTGTCCATCTAGTCATGACGCGCGACCTCACGAGCCACGTGCATGCGATTGCACAAAAGCTCACGACGCACATGAGCCGCGCCAAGCTCGAGTGGGAGACTCTGCACTGGTGCGCACGGCCACAACGTATAGCCTCCTTGACGTACATCAATCCTACGCGTAGGTGGCAGCTACAGGACGCGACCCCGCTCTTCATTGCGTCGCTCTTCGCCCACCCGCCGCTCGTGCGCTGGCTTTTGAAACGCGGCGCGGACCGGTCCTTGAACCCGAGACGACGCACGACTCATCTTGGCGCGTAGCACCATTCCTTGCTACTTGGGTCAAACCGCGCTCGACCTCTGCGGCGAGCACTCGGACGACGCGGACGCGATCGATCAATGCTCGCGCTTGCTCAAAAACTCACCCAAAAGTACGCTCTTCGGTACGTGACGAGGCTCTAATGACGGGTCTGGTAGTCCCGAACGCACCGGAGCGCACCGAGGCGACGTGCCACATCTCGACCGAGCACGTCTTTCGGCACATTCAGGTCGCGGAAGAGAATGAGAAAGGCGTCCTGCGGCTCGTCGATAAGCGTGTGCCCATACGTTGCACAAGTGCATTCTGAACCTTCGCTGGGCAACGCCGCTCAGCAACGGCAGCATGATTGAAAAGTACGAAGTCCGGTACCGCGTGCACGTCCCCGGCGAGAAGTCCATGGTAGACGATCCCATATTGTCCTCTGTGCTGTAGACTGCACGATGCTGTCATAGGTCCGCGGGTGGCGCAGCCAGACGACGACGCACTCGCGGCTGCGTGACACGCAGACCGTCACGATCGAAGGCCTCCAACTCGAAACGTGCTTTGATGTCTCGGTGCGCGCGCAGAACGCTGTCGGGCGTGGCGACTGGAGCACGATCGAGCTCGTGACGACGCCGAGTCATCCGAAAGGCGAGAACCACTGAGTCGCAAGAGAGAAATCGTTCAACTTTATAAACATGGCATCTTAGCCCGCCTTGTAGATCAATATGGCCTTTTCGTTGTAGTAAAAGTAGACGAAGTTGCGCGTGACGTGCGTGACGTACGAGCCAAAGTTGCGGCCAACGCAGACGACCCACGACGGGTCCCACGCCTTGTCGAGGTGGTCGCGGATCTCGTCGCAGACGGCGAGCCCGTGCTTCTCCCACTCCTCCGTGTCGAACTGCCCGAGGCGCGACGTCGTGTGCTTGATCACGTCTTCGAGCACGTCGTCTTCCATGTCGCACGGCGTCTTGACCCGCGCGCCCCACATGTGCTGCCAGCTCGGCGCTTCGCCCATCGCCAAAAAAGATATGCGACCGTTCGCACGTCCCAATAATAGTGTGAATGTAATGAATAGTGTATCGATGGGCTGCATGTCCTTTTCTTTGTATGCACGCGTGCAGCTTGTAATAGTGTGATGACTCGTACTAGTGTGAGTGCCTTGTATTGGTGTGTGGTCATGCTATAGACTGACCAAGCCGACGACGGGCCGTGCGACGCGCGATAGAGTGGTGGAGGCCAATGGCATAATACAGGGCGGTGGCAGTGGCCGGGCGCCGCCAAGGTTGTCAGGGTCTGCGAAGGGACAAGCCTTCGAGAATGCGATGTCCTTCAACTGCCAGAAAGGCCGTCAACCGGAAATTGAACCAGCAAAATCAACCTTGCCGAGCGCTCGCCGTCACTCCCGCCTCATTGAAAAGGCAGCGAAGCCGTGGCGCAACGTGTACACGCAGTCTGCGTCACGTCGCTACGTCCTGGTTAGTTGAGTGGCTTCTGGTCTGCCTCCAATTCCAGTTCGGCTCGACCTCCATTCTGGCAGCCATTCTGCTCTACTAGTACATCCAGTTCTATTCTAGTCGCCGCCATCGCGAGCAAAAGAGATTTGCGACGACAGCGCAGCAGCACGCACTTGTCAGCGGCGTTCCTGCCTGATTCGGTCTCAAAAGCGCGCGAAACTCAAACTCAAAAAAATGGAGCGAAGGCAGAAGGCAGAAACCGACCTGCCAAGCGCAAGTCGCGGAGGCGCTGCCGCGACTGCATGACGCGCCTCCTGCGTGCGAGGCTACGGCGGGGCGACTTCGCGCCCGAGCCTGAGCGCTTGGGCGTGGTATTAAATTCGACTGGTGGTTTGTAAGAAATATAGTATCATTTGTGGCAGTTGAAGACAGACCATCATCAATATCATGGCATGGACGACGTGCGAGGTCCTCGTGCCCAAGACGATTGGCCGCCGGGACGTTGACGGGACCGACGTCCGCGCGATCGCATCCGAAGCGCGCTGCAAGGTGCACGTCGAGGCGCCGCACCTCTCGCCGGTCGCCAACACCCGCCTCCTCGTGGTGGCCGGCGACCCGGACCAGGTCGGCCGCGCGCTGGCCGCGGCGATGGACCACATCCAGCGCCTGTACGCAGAGGCGCGCCGGCTGCCGTGCACAGCCACGTACCGCTATGTGTATGGCAAGGCGTCGCTGTACATCTCGAGCCACTTTGCGAACGTGCTCTCGTCGCGGCGGGACCTCGTCGACGCGCTGCTGGTCGATGGCAGCGGCAACGTAAGCATTGCGCCGACCGAAGAGATGTCGATTGGCGTCACGAAGCGACAGGTTCAAGTCATGGGCACCGAGCCCGAGGTGCACGCAATCGTTGCCAA